GCCGACGCCAGGCCCGTACCTCGGTTGCAGCAGGGGAGAAGTGCCAGGCAGGCCTAGGGGACAAGGGGTGGGGATGAGGGCCCAGTCCAGTCAACCCCTCCGGCCACCGCCCCACCCACCCACAGCCATGGTCCAGAGGGCCACAGTGCCTCCCCAGACCCCAGGATAGCTGCAGGGATCTCGGTGTGGGGCACAGAGAGTGGTACAGAGGGTGATGGGGCAGAGAGTTCCCAAAGTGTGTGCCAGGGGACCCTGGCCTTGCAAGCTCCTCTGTAAAGTAAAGGTTCTACAATCAAACCCATGGGGAGGCACGGAGCTCATTCCCCTCTTATGGCTTCACTCTGCGTCCAGTGGACAAAGGCTCTGAGGAGCCCTGCAGAGGCCCTGAGAGCTCAAACGTGTTTGGTCACAGAACTCTCTTTCTCTGTAGCTCACACTAATATCCCGCAGCCCTGGAGGTTCCTCCGGAGTGTCGCCTCTGCCCCAACAGCCCAGTCTCCCGGGCTGTGCCACCCTCCATGCTTCCTGCCTCTTGTCTGTTGTCGCAATGCGACTGCCAGCTCCCGGTGGGAGGGTTGTGGGCTCCGGGCCCTTTGCAGGTGGCTGACCCCAGGGCAGGTGCTCCCAGACATCCAGCCGCTGATGTGGCAGAGCCGAGGGGCTGGGGGCGGGGGGCGAGAGCTGGGCAGAAGATGTGGCTCCCCCTGGCCTCTGACAGCTACGAGGACCCTGGGGCGGGGGCGGGGGACCTGTAGGGACCCGGGAGCGTCACCTTGCAGCAGGCACAGTACTTCCAGCAGAGCAGCAGCAGCAGCGCCAGGAGCAGCAGGAGGAAGATGAGCAGGGGGATGAGCCACCAGAAGGAGCCGGGAGGGCAGTCTAGGAGGAGGAGGAGAAAGGTGGTGCTCATCCCTGGACGCGGTCTGATGGGCCCCCCACCCCCGGCGGCCGGGCGCCAGCTCACCCTTCTTCCTGTGCACCAGGACGGTGCTGTTGGGCCCGGGCGTGCCGTCGCCCTCCACGGTGTAGCTGTAGTTACAGTCGTCCTCCTCGTCCCGGAAGGAGCAGTGCTCCACCACCTCCTCCGCTGCACCCACAGGCAGTCAGCAGGCGCCCCT